AAATATTCTTTCAAAACAGTGTTAAAATCAATATGTATTTGAATCAATATCAAATCATCATAGTCTGTTCAAAGTTTCTTCTGCTCAGCAAGGCTGCTTTTATTTGATTAAAAAAGACATTTAAAAAACATTAATGTTGTGAAATATTATTACAATTTAAAATAACTGTTTTCTATTTAAATGTATTTTAAAATGTAATGTATTGCTGTGATCAGGGGCACAAATACATCAAAAAGTATTTAATTACAAATACTTATTCATCAAATGTATTTAAATAAAATACAAAATACTGCTGTGAAAAAAAGTATTTAATGAAAAATACAAGTAATTTGTAATTTGAAAATACAAAAATACAAACAAAATGTACAGTCTTTTGAAGTGCGAGAGTAACTGTGAGTATAAGCGTATAGAATATCGGAATTTCATCGTTCAGTGCAGAAGATGCGCTTTTAGCGTACATGTTGCCGCATACTGTCATAATAAAAGTCAATTACTTATATATTTGTATTATATTACAAACTAGTTAACGCTGCTGTGAGGGTGTTTCTACAGCGGCTGTGACAAAGTTGACATCTTTCTCTCTTCCGACTGCTATTATCAATCTCTCTCTATTTTTTTTTAATACTGTTTTTGAAAGTTGTGAAAACACTGTTATGTTTTTTTTTTTTTTTTTTTTGCTATTTGAGCAAATGGGAACACAAAAAAATATATATTTAATGTAGTCTCTCATTCACTGCTAAGTTTACCCAACTATGACGCCTTCCACTTCTGAGAAACCCGGAAATGTGAACAGGGTCAATAGGATGTGTCACATCACGAGATTTTCTTGCATAGCCAAAAACTGTGAAAGGCAATTTGGTAGTCCTATATTCGTATTTTATGTGTCTATGGTCCTATTAAGCCTGGTGATGAAAGTTAATAGATGCGAAATAAAATGATATATTTAAATAAGTATTAAGTAATAAGTCTCTCAAAGTATTACAAATTACATTTTCTTTTTTTTATGTTAAGGAAAATACAAATGATACAAATTCAAAATTAATTAAATATGCATTTATTACAATTAAAATACTGCCCATGGCTATGATGCCAAAGCGGTATTTTCAGCATCATTACTTCAGTCACATGATCCTTCAGATCCTTCTGAAATGCTGATTTGGTGCTCAATAAACAATTCTTATCATCAATGTGCAAGCAGTTGTGCTAATATTTTTTTGTGGAAAAATTAAATATTGTCTTTTTTCTCGATATTTCTGATATATATATATTATTTTTGATTAATAGAAAGTTCATAGAATAGAAGTCAATAGTAATCTTTTGTAGCATGGTAAATGTCTTTACTGTGACGTTTGAACAAGTACATTCGTGCTTAGTACTTACTGAATAAAAGTATTCATTTCTTTCAGAAAAAATAAATCGTACTGACCCCAAACCTTTGAACGCTAGAAGCCAAAGTATGAAACTATGCAGTCAGTGAATTGAAGTGCTTCTGCACAACAATCTTTATTGAGCAATTCTGTAATCTGTCAGCAAAATTGACATTTTGCTTCTAAATATTTTAATGGTTTATTTGTTTAATCTTCTAAATCGTTGCAGAAACGCAATTCCTTGGTACCGCATGGTGCTGGGGGAGTGGAACTGCCTCTCCAAACAATGAAACGGGTCATGGGAGTTCTGGGTGCTGTTCCTCTGGATATAATTTGAACTCTAAACTATATCTCAACAGGAGGTTGTCTATTGAGTATACCGCAAGTCTCGGGGCTCTGCATTCACAGATTTTCCATGAAGGCCCATCGCATGAAGCCTTCATAAAACCATCAGCTTTAAGGTCAGATGGTGAAAATGAGTAAATGGTCTCTTGTGATCATATAGTGTTCACTTCTGGTTGAGGTGGACTAGAAAATGCAGGATGACTCGATCCCTAAGTTAGCTGTCCGTCGGTAGGACACAAGGGAGGAGAGTTTGGACTCAGCACAGGAATTCCCAATACAGGTTGCAGGTGTGACACAGCGTTGTGAAACACTCCTGGGAGGAAAAGCTGTGGAGAAGCAGGGTTACCATGGGATCTTTGGGGAAGCATGACACAGTTATAGGTGCACATACTGTTGACACACATGTGATCCCTGGTTCATATGGGACAGCAGCACTCCTGATAAAGTATGCCTGAACACACTAAATATATATCCTTGCTTTGACCCCCTGAAACCAAAAGTCTGAACGCCAATTTCTCAGGAACTTATTCAAACATTTTTAAAACTTAATTGTGTTTTTTCCCCCCCAAGTTAATCATGATTAATTGGACATTGATTGTTGACTGTTACCATAGCAAAAGCTTTCCATCTTCATCAGCGCATAGATTTTCTATCTTTACAACACTTCTATGCCGCCAAGTGGAAGCCTTCCTCCCTTTGTGTGAGAGGAAAGAAGCGTCACCCGAGTGAACTAGCGCTATGGATATTGTCCTATTGTGCTGATTGTGTTGTCGCATGAGAGATTATGGTAGGCAGGCGACTGGCGCGTGAGTGCTGGTGTAGCAGACGCATCACTTAAGCCCATCTGTTCATTTATCAATCACCAGTGTCCGGCTTGACTTAAAAGTTGAACTATCCTGAAATGTGTAAATGGTGCATGGCTAACAATTGAAATATATAAATATATTTTTTTTATGAGAAAAAATTGTGAGGAAAAAAAGCATTAGATTTAAAGAATTATTATTTTGAATACCTGTCAAAATAATAGTAAAAAAATAATAATAATCTTAGCAATATATATTTATCACTACGGATCACTTTTTCATCTCTAAAATTCAATGTGATCTTTTAGCATTGGATTCATTATGAAAGTTAATAGTTATCAAAACTTTTTGTAGAGAGAGCGTGAGCGCACTGTCTAGGCCACAGATGTGCACACTTGGTGCATACAATGGGATCAGTGTGAGGACACGTGCGACCTGAAGCCCCACAGTCAATAGCACACTACTACAATAGAGCCCCTACTGTGGTACGAACACATATAGGCTATGTAGCCCGTTTTTCTAAATAAAGTCAAACTTTATGTAGGCTATATAGGCTACAGAGCAAAAATGCCATAAATGGTTAAAGTGCACAGAATTGTATTTTTGTATGAACATTCTTGCTACATTTATTTACCTTTTCTTGCAATGAAGGTTAAGTGACTTCTTGAAGTTTGAAAAAAAGAAGAAGATTATTTTATCATTGCATAAAAACTTAGATATCAATCTGCACATGCGATGGAGATCGGTTATGCTCATCTTGGTAACTCATTTGAAGGAGTAAAACAGCTCTGTATTTAAGGAAGCACATAGCCTACAAAAGACGTTAACTGGAAGCGATGCAACCTGTTTTACGGAAGTTTGTTGCGCTTAATCCCCATCCAGGGTGGAAGGAAATTTGACAGGTTTCACTTTAACATAACACGTAAACTTTTTTTTTTTTGTCACCAGATTTATTTATTTTTTTGGTTGCAAAAAGTACTTTTTAAAAAGCTGCATCACGATCCACCTCAACATTAAAAACGTGTCAATATATAAAAAGTAGGCCTAGGCAATACGTCATTCTTACCGCGTTATCGCGAGAATTTAAATATGGGTCTGCCTCGACAAAGTTCTGCAAATATGATATCACATGATTTAGGCTACATAATTATACGTTTGTGAATTAAAAGATCCCCAGTAGCCTATCTGTTGCATCTGAAGTATACAGGCTAATAAATCTTTTCAGAAAAGAGTATTTTTGGGGGGCAAATCACCCTCGGGCGCAGAATGCATGGTTGAGTGAGTTATCTTAGCGAAACAAAACCGTTTGGGCTTGATTAATCCAGCAGTTATTGAGCGTTATGTTTTGGTGGGACGAGGGGCGCTAATGAGCGGACGGAGCGAATGAATGAAACGGGTGAACAACACACACACCTGCTCACACTGCACCAAGCTGTCACAATCATTTACTGGGACGCGCGCGCGTCTTTGTACACTAGACTACTGTAATTAGAGTTAAGAACAACGTTTGACCTCGCCATAAACCAAATAGGGCTCAGGGGTATTAATCCAGCACTGAGCGGGCTTTATTGGGGCAGAAAATTACGTTAGGTCACGAAAGAAAAGCAGAGAGTGATATTTGTATAGATTCCCAATTATGGGCTATTTTCAATTTGTAAAAGTAGGCTACACTACAAATCAACTGGTGTATTACATAATCCAGTAAACGTAATATGTTGATCATCAAATCAATAATAATAAAGTAACTTTTTATTATTGAAATAGGCCTATAGTTTAAAATAGCTTGTATGTTGATTACACCACCCTGACTTATATTTTGCTGACTTGTATTTTTCGAAATATTAATAATAGGCCTATTTTAAATCAAAATTGTAAAAAACAATAATGAAAAATTATGCCAACATTTTTTGTTTTTGTTTCAAGAATTCAAAGCTTTTTAATGAAACGTTTTATTACCATCTCCAGACAGGAAATTGTAAGCCCTGCAATAGCCTATGTATTTATTCAAATCAAAATGAGCCTATGAGCGTCACGTCATTGACCATGTTGTCAGAAACATTTAGCTTTCTTCCCTTCTTCGAATTGCAGAGCCGCTCACCTTGAACAATTTATAAGGGTTAATGTAGGCTACAAGGGAAGTTGCATCGTTCCCTCGCACACAAATGCGAACTCCCTCAGACACAAAGCCCGGGGGGTAAATGCACACACTTAAGTCGTGAAACTTTTGGCCACGAGCGCGCCACGCGCTTTCGGATCAGCTGAAGGGGGTGGGTGGGTGCTGTGTGGGCGGAGCTTGTGAGCATCGCTAGAAAGTCAAAGCCGGGAGTCAGTGCGCTTCAGTGAGGCATGCGACGCGCTCTGAAGCACCAATGGAGAACTAACGGATCTGAACTAGCGCAGACGGACTGTTGACATACACAAACTATCAGTGGGGCGTCTGGAACTTTGTTTTTCATTTAAAAAAAAAAAAAAAAGCATTTCTTTTAAACATTTTGACAGCGTGTTCTGGCTTTCTGACCACCTTTTTAGTGGTCGAAGTTTTATTGAAGTGAATCCAGGTGGCACTTTTACAGGTAGGTTACGGTTGTTTTTAATCATTTATACAAATAGGCTAGGCCTATATATCTTCTCTTTTTTTTGTGAAGATGTAGAACATCAAATGTAGATTTATTTCAGGATTTATTTCAAGATTTAGATCAAACGAATTCGATTCGATCAAACAAAAAATAATATTTGTTTATTCATTTTATGATTTCTCATTTAAAAAAACAAATAAGTGAATAAACAAGAAATGAATAGGCCATAAAACAGTCAACATATAATAGTAATTCTAAAATGTTTTCATCATTATGTCTCTTGTTTGACAAAATGGAATTTTGTTATGTTTATGCCATTCATTGATCTTAATCTCAAATTCATCAGTAATTAAATACAAAGTAATCGGGAAAAGTTAACTCACTACATCTGCCATATTTTTAATTCACTTTAAGGCAACAATTTAACTTTATTTATTTATTTTTATAGTGCAGTTAATCAACGCAGTCGAAATCTGGGCCGCGTATATGGTAGACCATTCATTATTACAAACTTTCGTGTTCTACTTATAAATAAATGACGCGCCAATGAATGCACAAAACCCACAAATGTTTATAAGTGTCACAATAGAATGTAACTTTAATTAGAATCTAAATATTTCGCTAAGAAGCGCGCAATCTTGAGTAGGAAAACAATCGGAATATATAGCCTACATCAACGGGAGGCCGACATAATTCTGTGACAACATATTTAGAGACAATGCTGATGTCTTTCAATCAAATCAAATTCTAGTAGTTCTAGTAGTATTAGTGTGGCTTGGTCCTGTGTTTGTTGATTCCGGTTTACAGACTCCCCACAAATTAAATCCGAGCGCTTTATCTGTGGACTAAATCCAGTCGTGTCCCAGTTTGGACAGCGTCTCAAAATGACTCCGGAAATCAAAGGGTTTAAACAGAAAGTCCTTTTAGATGGAGCATTAAAACTGAGGGAAGAAATGCAATTGTAGAGCTGTAAGCTATATAATAATCATCTCAATAATCGTGCTCTCTCTATGATGAGGGTCTTAACTCGCGTGAGCACATGTCAAAAGTCATAGTCTGAACACATAGAGGTCTAAATAAAGTGTACATTTGTTTTTGATTGTTTTTAATCATTTTTCTCCTATAGACCTCAGATCACAATGATGACCAAACCTTATGGAAAACCAGGGGATGTGACTGAGCTAGTCAGCTCTCTTGGATGGATGGAGGAAGACCTCAGCTCACAGGATGGTGACAGGACCCCTGAGATAGGTCACTATGCTCTACACAGGAGCAATCGTGAAGAGCTTGGCAGTGAGGATATGGAGGAAGAGGAGGAGGAGGAGGAAGAGGAAGATATGGGTCTCGACGGAGAAAAGGCACCCAAGCGAAGAGGTCCTAAAAAGAAGAAAATGACCAAAGCCAGACAAGAACGATTCCGTGCCCGCCGCGTCAAGGCCAACGCAAGGGAACGCTCGCGCATGCATGGGCTGAATGATGCGTTGGAAAGCTTGCGGCGAGTCATGCCTTGTTACTCAAAGACCCAGAAGCTCTCCAAAATCGAGACCCTGCGGCTGGCCCGCAACTACATCTGGGCGCTTTCGGAGGTTCTGGACAGCGGCCAGTCACCCGAGAGTAATGGTTTTATGGAGATGCTTTGCAAGGGGCTTTCGCAACCTACCAGCAATCTCGTAGCCGGCTGCCTCCAACTTGGGCCCTCGACCATGGTGCTCAACAAGATGGATGAAAAGTGCGGGGTGCCAGGAGCAGGTGGTCCGCAGGGTCACCCCATTAGCTATCCCTCGCCGGGACTTCCCAGTCCACCCTACGGCTCGTTGGAGGCCTCACACTTGCTTCATCTGAAGGGTTTCAAGGGGACTGCCTATGAGAACTCCTCACCCAACGAATGTAGCAGCGGCACGCCACCTTACGACGGCCCTCTTACGCCGCCACTCAGCATCAGCGGCAACTTCGCCCTCAAACAGGAGCCATCTCCTCATGAGGCTGAGAGGAACTTTACCCCTCACCCGGCCCACGCCACCCATTACATCTCCTCACACCCTTACCCACCCACCTCCTTGGCCGGTCTTCCAGTTCCTCAGGGTCACCCTCTATTCCCAGGCTCCCGTTACGAGCTTCCTTTAGAGATGGCTTTCGAGCCGTTTGCCCCTTCGCACATTGTGACATCACAGATGAGCAGCATTTACAGTGAATAAACAAATATGACCACCAGAGACGCTCAGCAATTCTGCCTCCTGCTCCTCAGTGCGCCTCCAGGGGCCCAGCACATTTAAGGAGACACTTTGCATGTATCCTGTCTGATCCCTTAAGAGACCATAGCGGTCACTGAGAGAGAGAGTTTCTGAAACGCAACCTACCTGTGGCAATTGAAGTACTGAGAAAGAGATGCATATTTTTTTTGTTAATTTATTCTTGTTTTTGTCATTTTAAATGTTATTTTTAATTGTTCTGGGATTTGTATTCTGTATACACTTGTTCTCTTCCTCAAATAGGATGGCTTTTTTGGACACGTGCCATTAAAGGGCATCAAATTGACATGTAGACAAACGCTGGAAGGATTTTAGACGCTTAGGAGAGTAAGAAGTTGAACCTAAGTCTCTTCAGCACTGCTCAACCAGATGCTGATTTGCCACTAAACAAAACACGACACAAATGAAAGAATGAAGGAAAAGGAAAAAAAATTTAGCACACTACATTTTTCATAACAAATGCGTTTATTTATGACTGTATTTATTATTTATTTTGATGACAATTGTACATGTTTTGAAACAATTTGTCAGCACTGTTTTTATTGGTTCTTTGGTACACTGCCAGTAACTGCTACCAATACTCATAAAGTATTTAATTTATTTATCATTCAGTTTAATGTATTTTTGTCATTCTCCACAATATTTGTAATCTTGCTCAAGTATTTGTAAATATTTACCTGTTTCGCACTTAATAAAATAAATATTCTTATATAATATGACACTTTTTTGTTTCTTTATTTTTATTTTTACCATTATTATGATCATATTTGTTTAGAGATTCTAGAATGTAAGAAAACATAATGATAGAATGAAAAATGCTATAATTTTAACAATAAACCAGACATTTAAAAATGCATTCCATATTATAATGAAATAAAAACTGTTATGCTTTATTCCTTTTTTTTACAATACTTAATGGATTCTGTAATTTTGAATATTCTATAATATTTCATGATTTATTTTAGAAAAAAGTTGGGTTACAATCGTGTTACAGTGTAGTTATCTGAGTAATAATAATAAACTACATTACTATAAGGTTAGGGTGCATTTGCATGTAATTATGCACAATTTAGTAATTCCTATACTACATGTAACACTGTAAAATAAAGTGTTTCTAAATGCTGCATAACAAAATCATTGCATTATAGGCAGAATCATTGCATTAATGCAAAATCATTGCATTAGGCAAAATCATTGCATTAAGCACTTTTTATATTTAAATGAAAAAGAAGAAAAAAGATGTTTCACTGAATTTGTGTTCGGTGATGTTGAATAATAATAATAATGGAGGTTTTAGTGATTAATATTAGTGTTATGATGGGCATGGGAGTCAGTGGAGCATGTGGAGCCATGGGAACATATAGCTGTGGAACAGGTGACTGTGTCATGGGATCCCCTTTCACTATCACTTGCGTTTTCCCAGCCTTTTCATTGCCAAAATGGTTGGGGAAATCAACAAAACAAAACAAGCACACAAAAAGGGGGTTAATGATGTATAGGGAACAAAAAGAATTACAGTGTGAATGTATTTTTAATGGTTCCTGTAACTCTAGCATGTCACATAGCTGTATTGAAATGTTTGCAAGACATTGCCTTTTCCCACAAACCTTTATATCACTTGAGTACAGGACGATCGTTGACTTTAGCTTTGTGCTCATATCGGACAATGCAATGCCTCTCCAAATGAACAAACAGAGGGTTGATGGGGTGACAAGCCAGAGAGCCAGTGTGTGAAAGTGTGTTTATTGTTGGAAGCGGCACTAAGATGAGAACGGGCGCCTCAGAGGCTGTTTTGCTTGAAGTGGACCCTGCCTCATCCACCATCCCAAAGGTTTGTCTTTTCCAGCCCTGGCAAGGCCAGAGAAGTGAAGGAGAAAAAGGGAGCGATTGTTTTAGCGGGCGCCGCTGGTCTATTGTAAGTGCAGTGTGTTCTTTCTCTCGACCTCTGACCTGCATTGTTGTTAGGCTGTTCGTTCGGAGAGCCGAGACAGCTGGGAGAACTGCAGGGGGCTGATGGACAGCTGGGGCCAAACTAGTGAGAGAGAGAGAGAGAGAGAGAGAGAGAGAGAGAGAGAGAGAGAGAGAGAGAGAGAGAGCAAGGGGAAAAAAAGAGAAAGTGGGAGTAAAACAAAACAGAAGTGGTGAACGAGGCCCTATTCTTGAGTGACCCCTTTCCCTGTCCTCTTGTGGGTCAGCTGGGCATTGGAATGACACATAGTTCCACACGTTGAGTGGGTGAAGATGAGGAAAGTCCAGAATGGAGGGAGTCAAGTGCACAGAAGGCTTTCAGGCTGTGCCGTCAAGAGCATTTTTGTTTTTTTAAAAAAGGGAGTGAAATCAAATGATGAGAAATTACATTTAACCTGTAGCTCGTTTTAGTGTTCAGTTCCCCTTGATTTCACACAGGTGTAGTTCAGCACATTAACTATGAACATGATCTAATCATAATGTTTTCAATGAAGGCTATTCAACAACATATTTGTTTATATAAAACGTAACAGTTTGGGAAAAGCTTTGCTTTAAAAAAAAAATATTTCTTTAAAATAAATGCTAAATGATGTAAAGTAAACGATGACTGCATTTTAAGAGTGGCTGAAGTGCCCAAATATATTTGAAGCCACTATACAGTCATTTAGTACAAATAAATAATTTAAAACAAACTATATAATTTATAGAGGCATTTAAATAAATAAATAAATAAATGAATAGAACACATTTCAAGCAAATCAATTCACAGAAAGTTTATTTTATAACTCAGCATGTTACTCATAAAGCTGCAATTTACTATCCACCAAAGTTATATAAAAAATTATACAAGATGTTTTAAGAGAGTCTTTGGCATTGTTCATTGCCAATACGTCACCCGTCTGTGCACAACTCAGCAGGGCTGAAATAAGGGAACGATTTCAGAGTTGTCAGCTGCTTTCGACATATCCTTTGAAAACAGATGAGAAAGCGTAGAGGAGAAATGTGCTAGTAAAAATGAAAAGGCACGTGAAGACTGTTGCGTTTTCCCATAGGGCAGATGGCCATCGCTGTGACCTCTGTGCCACAGCAAATACCCATAGAAAGTTTCTGAAAAAAAAATGAAAAAGAAAACTACAATCTTGGTGTGGTGTTTTTAAGATTAATTTGAAATCTTCTAATACAGCCAAAACTCAAAGGATTTATTCTGCAGGTGAATAAAGCAGACAGTGCAAAGAGTAAACAAGTGGCATTTATAAATGAATAAATAAAAACATTTCAAGCAAATCATTTCGCTGAAAGTTTGATTTAAAATATATACAACAGTACATAATCTACACCTGTGGTCTGACCTACACCTACATACACTAAAATCACTTTGACACCAGCTGGTAAAAATTCATTTCAGGGTTGAAGAGTCTCTGCCGGTCATTTAATCCAGATTATTCCATAAAGTGTGGCTACAGTGTTCAAATACTTTTTGGGGCCTCTATAGGCAATTGCAGATCTTCATTTACTGCACGAGGTAGTTGCCGTGTGGAGTTGTGATTTTAAAATGTTGAGTTAAAGAGAAGGAGTGGATGATGGGACATTAAAGTGCAGTCTGAAACCTCTTTCACTCCTCCCCAGCTTTTTGTCTCTCTGGCACTAATCCACTGGCCAAACAACGCAGTCTCCTACTAAATGAAAGGTCCTGATCCATAGGGGGGAGATGGGGATAAAGCATTGTGATTAAGATTGTATTAATGGGGCCATAGGAGGCTGGAAGGCTTTAATCAGTGTCTGTGCTGCCGTAATCCCCTGCCTTTAAGCTTCAGCTAACGCTGTGATCCTCCTCCTCATGAGTCACATCACACACACTCACACAAACACACTGGATAGGCCGGAGAACAGTGAGGTCAAGGTACAGAGTTGGAGTACAATGAGACTGATAGGTGGTGTATACAAGAAGGCAGCAGGATGAGGACATAGGGAAGAGTATGATGACAGAGGATGAGGTTTGGAGAAAGACAGCAACAACAACAAAAAAACGCTGAACCAGATTATTTATAGATAGATAGATAGATAGATAGATAGATAGATAGATAGATAGATAGATAGATAGATAGATAGATAGATAGATAGATAGATAGATAGATAGATAGATAGATAGTGTGATGGGTTTTTTAAATAAATAAAATAGTAAAATGTATCAAACTAATCATAATTCTAACATCGATCTAACCTTACTTCTCCTTTAGGCCTAACACTCTACCACTTGAACAAAATGTACTGAAGTTTGTGTCGAAACCAGTGGAACATCCTGAGATGCTGGAATAGAATATTAAAATAATAGAATATATAACACAGTCTAGAATAGTCTTATGATATATTGAGTAATCAACTGAACTTCTAACCTTTTCCATTTTTTTAATGATCTAAGTTGCTTCCACCTAACAGAAGGGTTTGCATATGAAGAACCAATCAAATTGTAGGGAAATTATTTAATGTGTTATGTCATTTTTGCCATGCTCCTATTCTATAAAAACTGTTGTATTCTTTTTGCTGGTAGGATTCTCTCTGAAATTTGTCTGAGATTCTCCGGCCGTGATTAAAGCATATTCTGAGGCATTGTCTGGAGTCTGTTTAGTTATTGCTGCGCTGCAAGTTAGGGTTAGGGGACTCGGCCAAAGTTGATGAGGAGACGCGCTAGTGTATAAAAATTATTGAACGGGGACGTTGATTGTAGACGAGACCCAGATACAGGTAAACTAACGTCGACTGTAGACGTTCGGGACGTCGATTAGACAAGACCCAGGTACAGGAAAACTAACGTCGATTGGAGACGCCGATTAGACGAGACCCAGGTAGACTTAAGTCAGGTGCGAAAGAAGAAAAAATCGACCACAATAGATGGTGTTCCTCGGGGATCTGTCCTGGGTCCCATATTGTTTAGTGTTTATATGCTTCCTTTGGGGAAAATAATTAGGAAATATGGTTTGGGGTATCACTTTTATGCTGATGATACTCAAATTTACATCAGCTCCAAATCTGATCCTACTGTCACCTCTAAAATTCTCTCGGTGTCACAGTCTTCGTCTGCACCTGTCTGTCTTAGTCATCACTACACTACCCAGAATCCTTCTTGTCTCCACACCTGAACTCACTCCCTCAATTCATCCACCTGTTCATCGTCTTAATCATCTGTGTCACCTGTCCTCACCTCGTTAGTGGTCGTTTGTATCTGTATTTAGTTCTCTCTGTTCAGTCTGTCTTGGTCGGTTCTCGTCAATGTTATGGTGTTTGCATCCGCTACCCATCTGTCTGCATGTACCTGTTTGTTGTTTTGATTTATAGTAAAGTTTATTGGAATTCCTCGTCTCCTCGTGCTTCCTGCCATACACCACCCGTGACACTCAGAGTGTGTGCAGGAAATAAAAACTAGATGCACCATCATTTTTTTTTAAATTGAATTCTTCCAAGACAGAGATTTGGCACATCTGCGGCTATACTCACAAAGGGAGAAATTTTAATTTGATTATGGATGATAGTGTTTTATTTCCATCTTCTTATGCTCGTAACCTTGGTGTGATCTTTGACACTCATCTAACACTAGACTCGCATATTAAGAGTATTACAAAATCTGCATTCCATCATCTCAGAAACATTGCAAGAATTAGGCCCTACCTTACTCTACCTGACGCTGAAAGGCTTATTCATGCATTTGTTACTTCCAGGATTGATTATTGTAATGCACTATTTGTTGGTTTACCTGCTAAATCAATAAAATGACTGCAGTACATCCAGAATTCAGCAACACGTTCTTACATAAACTTCACCACGTCAACACATTACAGGCGTGCTTTATATCTTGTAAAGTATTGTATTGTATTATAGTATTGCTTTTAAAACTCTTACACTAACATACAAAGCTTTGCATGAAATAGCCCCTTCTTATATCTGTGACAGTCAGCCTGTACGCACCTTCCCGTTCCCTTTGGTCAACTGATTCGCTTACTCTTCAGCACCCTCCTGTAGATTAAAATCTATGGGGGAGAGAGGTTTCTCTGTTGCTGCACCCAGGTTATGGAATGCACTTCCTCTTATTGTTAGAGATGCTCCTACATTAGCCAGTTTCAAGAAGTTGTAAAAAAAAAAAAAACTCATTTTTTTTAAATTGCTTATATAGACTGTCATGATTAGTATTTTACTGTGTTGTGCTGTAATGATTATTTTTGTATTCTTGTACTTCTGTATTTTATTTGCTTTTACTGTCTGTAGCGCTTTGGGTTTTAGAAAAGTGCATTATAAATAAAATGTATTATTATTATTATACACAAATAGATGATAGATAGCTAGATAGATAGCTAGATTTCCAAATTAATGACAGACAGATACACAATAGATAGATGGATAGATAGATAGTTAGTTTTGGGATAGAAGGTTTTCACCAGTGCACCTGCTCGGTGAGCTCAGGTCAGACTGAAGACTAATACGATCCACAGAGGAAAGGTAAAGGGAGGTTAGAGTTCACAGAAGGGTGGAACAAGCCATTAAAGTGACATTGTGAGGCGAGACTCGTCTCCTCAGAGCTTTTGTGAGAGTGTTGGGTTGTCCAAGTTAAAGAGCTTCAAATAGGATGGTGATGCTGTCATGTTTACCCTGCCTCCCCCCTCTACACGCCCAGTGCATTGTGGAGTTGGCCTGGCTTTGAGCCCCCACAATGGCTGGAGAGGAGGGACAGATGGGGGTCCCTATGGAAGGAGGCACAAAAAGAAAGCAAGGTAGGAGGGCCCGACTGTGTGAGAGAGAGCCTGCAGTTAGCTCACACTGATTGCCATGCAAAGTAATGGAGAGTAAAAGAGAAACGGATGGGAAAAGTAAGAAGGAGACGGAAAAGGGGAGGGAAAAGGTCACTAAGAGATTTGAGAGATGCATAATCATCTATTTAAGCTATGGAATACAGTATAAGCCTGAATGTACTGGTGCCCTTCGTAAGTCTAAAGTGGGTACAACTCAGCAGAGGATGATGGAGGTCGCAGACTGGACCACTATATGGAAAAGTCTTAAAGCGCTTTAAGTTCACTTTATAACGCCACTAATCAGTTGACAACACACAAAATAAGTCAACAAACATTATTCTGAACATCAAAAAGTGTATATATTTGTATTGAGGCATTGTTTAAAATAAACTTGATTAATATGCTTACTGATGAATTTGGCCAAATTACATAAAATAATTTATATGATAAATAAGAGTGTCACTGCTTTTTTGTCAATGAGGGTTCCATGCAGCCATGGATCTCAACTGTTTCTGTCTCAAGTGGTAGCCCAGCCCATGAAATTAAGTTAATAGTATATTAATTATATATTTAATACAATTTGTTTCCATATTTCATATTTAATACATTTAATTAATTCATTAATTATGATTACTAATACACATAATTATTAACATCACATGCATACTTATTCTGAATACGGTGAGTTTGGACACATGGCTTATGACGTCAATAATGTGACATGAATATAATTATAATAAGACTTTATATAATGTTTTTTATCACTTCATTTTATTATTTATCTCTATCCATGTCAATAAGCATTTTATTTATTTAAATATATTTAAATATAAAAAAAAAATCTCAACAGTCTGTCTGGTCCAAACATTGGTAGAATAGGTCTTTGTTTAGCATGTTTGGGCCCTGCATGAGCTAATCTATGCTCTTCCAGGTGAGTCCCTCAGCATTAATTTGGCTCAGTGTGTCATAAAGGCTGAATGGAGTGGGAGTTGATTTATGTGTGAAAGGAGGGGATGCTGAGCGGAGGTGAGGCAGGGGTGTGTGGCGGAGCCTCTTCTGGTGTAAGATGAGGAGAGCCGAGGGGGAGGACCCGCGCACAGCAACAGATGGGCCCCAATGGCGCTCTCAGGTTGTAAACTTTCTGTTGGGAACATCTGTCAGTTTGTCCATATGCCACATTTTGAGAGGAGAAGCCCTAGTCAGTGTGGAGTGTGGACACCTGTCATTCCCTGTGATGAGACAGGAAGTGCACCAGCATTTGATATTCATGTTACTCATGCTGTGGGCATTGCAGAAAGGCAGAAAACGAATTGTTAATGCTAACTGAATTAGCAAAGACTTAACATATCCAAAATGCCTATAGCACCTGCATGCATATAGACTGGAACTGCTGGACAATTCAACATTTAAAAGTTGTGAAAAACTGTTCCACATAATGATGCAACTACATGAAATCAAAAGAGTGATTCCAGACCTTTATTTTGAGATTTTAAGGGTCTCCTTTAAACTCCTACTCTAGATGAGTGTTACATCATCTCTCTTTTTTTATATAAAAAAAGCCTTATTTTTCTATTTGCTCTGTTGCGAGCGGATAAAGGAGAATTAAGCAGTTGATCGGGGCTCAGTGTCCAGAGTGTTGCATTAGACAGTAATCCAGGGCATAGGAAGGGGGAGATGGGATAGCATCCCTAATCCCTTGCCTACCCCATCCCAAACACACATTCGGTTATCACTAGAGAACTCATCACATTTTATTTTAAAAGTATGATGATAAATGATTAATCTAAGAACAACAACACTAAGACAAATTTTCCTAACGGACCTTATCTCTTTCCTGTCTGCACCTCAAAACACCATCCTCAGTACCAGAGCCCACTGAGCCTTCCAGTGGTAGACTGTTTTTATCCACAGTTCTCACCAACTCCACTACAGTCTACAGTGACAGATGTTATAGAGGCAACAGTTGGTACTGAGAAGGAGGGGCTTGGGGCCATCTGCCCAGGGTCAAGGTTTGGATAGAAGGAGGTCTCACAAGAGAGAAAAAGTGGCAAGTTGAGCTACATAACTAGTGTTGAATACTTACGATTGTTCTGTTAAACATCACTTACAGATACTGTAAGTGAAATAAGGGACAGGGATGCTTCCCAATTAACACATTTGTTCACCATGTGGTCCAAGCAAACTTTGAATTAAAGCTTCAGAAGTGTCCAAAGCAGCAGGTGTCAGTGGCAAAACAAAAAGCAATTGGTGGATGGAACATAAAAATATTTAATTTATTGGTGAAAATTTTAAATAAAGCATGCCGTTAAAATCATTTTTAATTTCTGGATATCAAATAAGAGCTCTCAGATTTTTGCTTGTGGTCTCCACCTCATCACGAAAGTAGGCTATCTTCCGGTGACCCATCTTCCTCTGGAGAGGGGAGGTTAGTTTTTACACACATTGTTATATAAAAATAAGTAAAATTGAAAAAAGTCTATATTCTATATTAAAAAACAAAACAAATGAAAACAATGTAGGTAACAGATGCTTTCTAATAAATCAATCAAGCATGCAATATTATGGTGGTAGACCATCACCAACAATACATAAATCTACACCACAACTGCATTCACACTTACAATGTAGATGCGAAGTCGCTCCTGTTCCAGCTGAAAATACTCAATGGCCGTGAGCTTGTCAAATGTGTTTTTCATATGGAGAAAGGCACAATTGGGGGAGCGTTTGGCATGCTCAGACCTTAATGACAAGGACAGTCAAAAAAGAGATTTAGTGTTGATTTAGTGTTCCCCTTCTCCACACCAAGTCAATTGTTACAACCTCAAGTTTACAACAGTGTAGATAAGTGAACAATAAAAGGTGTCTTCAGAAAAACAAAGGTGAGATTGTAAAGGTGTGCTTCAGGCAGGAGCTAACCAGGGGTTGTCTTCTGGCTCCCAGCCCTCCAGCTCTCGGAGACAGTAGAAACAGCAGGCCACATCTGGCTCATTCTCACTAGGACAGTGCACAAAACCCGCCTTGGCCATCTGAAGAGAGGATTCTCATTACTCCTTTTAATTAAAGCAGCAGTGGTTTTGTAAAATTGCTAAAATCCCTGTACTCAACACGGTCTAATTTGCTGTCATTTCGACTTCCACTTATTAATAGTCTATTTCTCTCTTCATATCTTCCTTTTTTCCCCCGGACGCACTCACCAGCTCTGGTGTGCACTGACAGTCTTCTCGAAAAGGCCACTCGGAAAACGTCTGAAGACGCTTTTCATAACTATACATCTGGTTAAACGACAAAAGCCGGGACGCAATCACTTCTGCGTTCGACATTTCTGAAGCTCAAACAGAACACACTACCTGCAACTCACCATCTTACTATAAACCTGTTTGAGTGTGGCTGTTTAATTGTTTGGGCGCTTTTGATTAGGCCTATTGATTGATGAATCGCTGCCAGCTGTCAGAGCAACGGAAGGCATTGATATAAAACAAGATCTTGAATCCTGGTGAGTAAATTTGTGATTTTATGCATGTAGATTATCAATCTTTATTCTTTAGTATTGTTTGAATAAACATTTCGTGTTAAAATTATGCTCATGTTCACTTCGTTCACTGAAACAATGTCACACATTTGAAATAGTAGTGTGATGTCTCCCTCTGCTGGACGAACAGAAACACAAATTTGAAATGTGATATTCAAATTGAAATTCAATGAAAAACAGGCTTTGTTTCCAGAGTAGTGTCAATGACACTAAAAATGTCCAAAAACTACTAACAAAATCGCAGTTAAAAGTTTGGATTAACTGACTCTAAAAATTTGTAAATAAAGAAAAAAGTGCAATGTATATACTAAGACATACTTCCATGCTTCCGTTACGTCTTTTTGTTTTTTGCACTACACATTTTTGGTCCTAGAATATATTTAGGTCCTATATATATATATATATATATATATATATATTCTAGGGCCAAAAATGTGTAGTCTTTTTGGTTTTTGCACTACACATTTTTGGTCCTAGAATATATTTAGGTCCTATATATATATATATATATATATATATATATATATATATATTCTAGGACCAAAAATGTGTAGCGTAAAAACCAAAAAGACGTAACTGAAGCATGGAAGTATGTCACCTTAATCATGGAAGTATATATATAGATAGAAAGATAGAAAGATAGATAGATAGATAGATAGATAGATAGATAGATAGATAGATAGATAGATAGATAGATAGATAGATAGATAGATAGATAGATTATATATTTTTATTTGTTTCATGCCATTTTCTTGGACCAAATGTCCTAAAAAAATTAAGTTATTATCTAGGCCTATATGAGTTTTTAAATGTTTGTATAAATTATTACGAGTCTTGCGTCATTGACTCCAAATCAATCAGAGAATTAAGTTATTTTATTTGCTATAAAACCAAATAGTAAATGCTTTGGAATGGAGACCTCATGTCAAACATAATCCTTAACAAGCCCTATAAAGATTCCTGTGTTATGTAGTTAACCGCTACAGGCTGCACACATAGTTCAGTGGATTCCCTGGGCATCAAACATCATAAGCCAATTACTTGACTCAAACTTGAGTCTAGAGGCCTTAGCAAGTTGTGTCTCTTCTCTTAACCAATTACCGTAAGCCAATACATACACCATAAAGTGAGATCATAGTGATTGGCAGACAACATTAATGGTTTGCGGTGTGAGCGTTTGAAAGCTGTTTATGACTGGTGGGTATAGGGAAAGGCCCTGCTGCTATCACCATGTTCTGTAACTGTATCTCACTGCGCCTGGCTGTTGAAATGTGCTTACCACTTCCAAAAAGCGGCCCCTCCACCCCTCTCTGCCCTTCATTTGATAGGAACTTCCCTGAGTGTTGGTTTTGTGTGTCACAAACAAATTCTGCTGTTAATATGTTAATCTGTCTGAAAGGTGAACGTGAGATAACTCAACTAGGATGGTCATATTAATTCTAAAGGAGGGTTTTCCATGAAATGATTTGTGAGATTTGGAAGATTCCCGGCTGCTTGTTCTCTCTTTTGTGGTGATAGTTTGTCACTTAATATTCAGTCTAGAGTTTCACATCAGACATGACATTTGGCGCATTCCTTTCAGGCGAGACCCCACACCGGAGCTGTCACTCATTTGCAGTCGCCCGCTCAGGAGAAGTCAAGCGGGAATACGTCACCATCAGCTGTTATAAGGCTTTCATCTGGTCTGTGGCTTGAGCAAAACCACAAAGTGAATACTTCATGATCAAGCCACAGACTTGATGGAACTATCTGGAATTACATTGCATGGCTCAAATGTTTCTTTTATTCATTGGCTTTTTCCTTTACTACACAGGACACTGGAGAACTGACAGGAAAGTAGAGAGAGAGTGATCGGGACATGACCCAGACCGGAATCGAACCCAGATCCCCAACAGTCATGTGCCGCAGCTCCAACATGACTGGCATTTTCCTGATATTCTTCTCCAATTGCAAGATTCCCAAATTCCAAATGTAAAAGGCTGAAGTTTTATTTATTTATTTCTTGAAAGATAAAATTAAATAAATAATATTTAATAATATATATTTATTTATCTATCAATAGTAATAATAATTGTTGTTGGTTGTTATTATTGAAAAATAAATATGAAATAATATTTACAAATTAAATTAATTAAAATTGCTATGTGATAATAATAATAATATGTATTTTTTATAATCCAATTGTTATTAAGATGACGGAATTAATCACTTTTTTTTTGTCTTCCCTATAACAAGATTTATTTGATGCAATTGAGTTTTGAGATTACTGTGAAGCTCTTGAGGTGTGCATATATAAGTATGTATACATTTATGTGTCCATAAGTACAACAGAGTGGATGGAATTGACTGAATATACTTTGCATGGCATTTCTTTTACTAGAGAATTTTCCTGATATCCTTAGTTGCAAGATTCCCAAGCTTCAGCAGTTCCATCAACATAGAAAGCAGAACATCAGTGGCTCCATTTATCACTTTTGAAGCTTTAATGTAAAAATGACATGTTATACAACAACAGTGTTGTCCATATTATGAAATAAGACCTGGATGCTCGTTGCATTTTGTCACAGGCTGTCTACATCTTCCCAGCTATCATATATATCGCATAACATTCCCCAGTCTGTACCTCTCTCACTCTCCATCCCGATCTGTGCTTTCATTGACACTTGACTCTTTTCTCTCTCTCCTTCTCTCACCCACTCCCTCTTCGTTCTCCTCCTCTCTCCTTCCTCACACAGTTGTCCTTACTTATTACTGTCCTGGTGTGATTATCTGCTGGAATCTCTTGCTCTTGTCCTGTATTCTCAGTGTGGTGAGACTGAGTGTGGGATGGGCTAAAAGTGGGAAATGTGTGTCTCTGTGTGACTGTGTGATACTTTGTGCAGGAGACACTCCCGTAAGTTCATCAGGACTATTTTGGCTCCAAATATCCCTGGAGCCTCAAAGAACCAGATCCGGACGCTCTGTTGTCCATGCCAGCGAGGGTTTCTACGAGGAGTTTGTGGTGTCAGGGTACAAGTGGAAAGACCCACGGAGGCAGAAAGAGGAAACGTGAATACGGGAAACAGTCAGAGGAAGAGGGTTTAATGTGGGGCTCAGGTAAGAACATCCACTAATTTCTATTTTTGTTTGCAGTCTCAAGTGAACACAAAACTGTTTTCCCTGGAGAGCCTTTTTATCGCATATGCTGAAATGTACATCATATGTGTTTATACTAATAGTCTATTATAGAATAACACTACAAGCTGATCTATATTTCCAGGGTTAAAATTTATTATTTGTGTACTATGGCATTTACAATAGATGTACACATAGTATCCAGGACATAGATTAATAGTTTAAGAGATGTGATACATCTCATGGAGTTACAACACCCAGAGTACTCCAGTCTATGACCAGCATCTCCTAATTTACTCATGTCAATGTTGTCATTAACAAGATTGTATTTCATATGAAGAAGTGCATACCTCTCCTGGACATTTGAACTGGCCTTTTCTGTAGATTTACATCTCCTCTTGTTTCTTCATCAGTAATAAGACAGCTTGCGTTTTGTCACAAGCATTCATTATGCTCTCCAATTAAGCTAAAACTAGTTTGATCTGATACGTGCAGGCTACTAAAAATCAAATCAATAGATGTATTATGTGTGTGTGTGTGTGTGTGTGTGTGTGTATAAGTGCACATACCTGTAGGCTTTGTGTTAATGTGTGTGTTTGATTGAGTGTAACAATTTCAAAAGTAATATTGCCCAGAGCCATTAATGAACTATATTCCGTCAAAAATATGCCTGGACTGACCTTTTAAAATGTACCTTTGCTCATTTGATTTTGCTTTTATCAATGTGAAGGACAACAGCTGTAAAAACAAAATGATTTTTTTTTTTTTAAGGGAGAACAAACTGGTCAAGAACAATTTTGTGACTTTTAATATGTGTAGCCTACTTGGAAGTAAAATAGAAAAGGAGCTTAGCTTTGAAGGTCAGTCTATTTCTTAAGGCCTGAGGCAATGTTCACACATTGTGAATTTTGAACTTTGCAGTAAAGCTTTTAAACCAGCAATGTTTATAGTGAAGCTCTTGAGATGAATGTACGCTCATGTAAGTATACGTGTAAGCGTCTATATGTACAAGCCTGGATTTGTGCTGAGAGATAAATGGGTGCAGACATAGTATTAGGAGGCTCTCTGTCTTCTGCCAAAGGTGTGAAATTAGCATCTCAGTGTGAGAGAAAGTGACAGTCAACTTCAACATTCCCCTCATACGCAGAGCTGGAAAAGCACACAGGCTATCCATTTGGAAAAGTCTCATCCCTCCAAAAGCTTTCTAGAAATATTTCCTTCTTGTTGCAACAGGAACATAAATGATATGGATCCCCTCTTGATCAATATTCTAATTTTAGTGTGATCATCCACTGTCATGCAAACGGATACTCGTATGCTGGCTGCTGGCTCTGTGCTTTTCAAGGGCATTGAAGTGGAACCGCCAAGGTCTTACACATATTTAATGAATATCAAAATAAAACCTTTAACCTTGTGCTATGAAAGGTTGTATTATTTTTTCCATTTTTCAAACTAAATTAGATTTGATGTATATCTATGGATACAACATCTCTTTTATTAACATACATTTAATTTCCTAATCATATATGGCTGTTGTTTTTCCTCTTGCAGTGTAAGTCTAGGTTATTATTTATATGCTGGGCTGGGTGCTGGACGTCCCTTTGACCTTTCAGTGCAGTCTCTAAATTCACCACCCGTCCGCCAGCACACACTGCTGTTGATATATACAGTATGTTCTCAGAGCACATGGCACATATACACTGTGGCTC